GTGGGTCTGTCCGTCTAGACTGCGGAAAGCGAGGTCACAGTAGGATGTGCGGGGGCTCGACCCGTCAACCCGTTGAAGCTTGGCCCAACGTTGTCAACACTTAATTTTCGAACTTGTGACCATGAAGATACATTAAGTTTTTTTTTTTTCGCTTTCTTTTTTGTGATTCTCTTTTAGGTTACTGTAAATTTTATAATGTTCCGTTTGTCGACTTTCTGAGACTTTCAACGAAAGTGGAAAGAGGTGTCCGATTGAAGTATATATTTCCTCGATGAGCGCTCATATCTGACCCTCAACAGACCGCTGAAAAGTAAAACAACTCCAGTCAAAATTTGACTGCTTCGGTTGACCGTTGTGGTGATTGTAAAACCCAGCCCATACACACCGGCGTCTGCATATTCTATAAGAGACACCAAGGATCGATGGAAATGGTATTGTCCAGAGCCGTGACTTTCTCCTGCGGACAAGATGGATGCACAAATCAGCTCGAAAGACCAGGAAATTGGAGGAGATCAGCCGCCCAGTGAATTGCCAACCCTTAGCGAGAAAGACAAATCACAGGAAAGTTCCGACCATATCCCATTGGTATGTATGACGATTCGGCTTCAAATGCTTTTGCTGACCATTGCAGCCCTCCCCTTCGCAGCAGGAAGCAGAAACAAGACACACCCTGGCGACCGAGCCATTTCAACCGATCTTGCAGGTTCTAGCAGACCTCGAGCGCGACGATCCCAAGTTCGCCTTTCCAGCAGCTCGACTTGTTGGACTCTATCGACGCCTATGGGAGTCGTGCGTGTCCAAGCACATCGATAGCCAGAAGCTAGAGCAGGAAAACCTTGCTTTGAAGGAGGCTGGTACGCACCTAAGAAAAGAGAGAGATGGTCTTCAGCTTCGCCACGACAAGCAACTGTCTCGGCTGCGCTTTTTTGAGCAGGCATTGGAATTATCTCGGGAGAGGCTGGTTAGGGTACTCGATGACTAGAACCACCCTTCGAGACTCAATCTGACAGGGTTGCCGGACAATGTAAGAGGAGAGTGAGGGATCGGCTATTCGGAGTTATCCTTCCTATTGTTAGAAGCAGAAACACTACAATGACGTTATAATTAAAGGAGAACTACAGCATGAACAGCAGATTATATTCCTTATATCTGCGAACAATCCCCCATGTTCTGGACCGGTCTCACTTATAACCACCCAATATTTTATGCACATAAAACTCCGGATCTAGGGACAGTGTCGTCGGTAGCGTACCTAGCGGAGAAAGTGTCGATTGACTCGAGTATTGTAGAAGTTCCATACGAGGCCGTAGAGATAGTCGGAAGCTATTGCCTATTGCACCAAAATCATGGATCGTGTCTAGCAACTGTCCGCGTACCCGACAGAGATTCCCTAGGACCGTTTCAACCCGGGGTAGGAAGAACAGATGCTCTCCTATACTCTCGCCAGTTTTCCGATCAAATCGGACTAGTCGAATCTCTACCCAGTGCACTTCTTTAGGGAAAGCGAAAGCTGACATGTAGAAGAACAAGTCGCTAGCCTAAGTAGACATGGACAGAGGGTCTGGACCAGTCCACCTGAAGGCTGACAGCTTCTCGTAAGTGGGATGAAAAAGGCATTCGATCAAGGAAGACCCTGAAGTCTCATATCCTGCAAGCTCACCCGCATCCGAGAGAATCTGCCGAGAATTTTCGGAGTCGGTGGCGAGACAGGGAGGTGGTGTCTGTATGCCAGAGCACTCTTGCCAGATGGCGTGAAGGTCGAGATCCAAACCACAGTCTGCCAATATTAGCACAAAACAACCATTGAAACAAGGGGTACAGACCATTCTTGTTCGATTCGTGCATTTTGGTTCAAGACTCGCCGTCGAAGGCTGGTGGTGAAATACAAAGTGTAGAAAGTAGCAATTCGACGAGGGTTAGGAAGGACAAAATGTCGCAGGATGAGCAGAGGTTTTATCTATGCTTGATTGTACAAGTTCTGGACGTATTAGGAGGTATTATGAGGAGATACCAAATGCCCTAAATTAAGCGTTGAGTGTATCAACAGCCGTGAAATGGTTACACCCCGTCACCAAACCCAACGGAACTTCACTAGTTGTACGGGCCTCAAAAAAGAAGAATGATATTTAAAACAGAAGGTAAATAGATAATAGAACTATTCAGTCATTGCCGCCGACGAGCGCTCCACAACACTGAGACTTCATCAAGGCCTATCGGCATGGTAGTATCGCTCGCTTGCAATGATGAAACCACGCCATCACAAAGGGCCTCAATTGCCCGTTTGGTATTCAACAGTATTAAAGCCTGCCCATTGTAAAACTGCAGAAGGATGTCGCTGTCGCTTGCTAGCCACTCATTCAACCCTTGAAGCTGTCGCTGCTCATCCTCAAGTCGTATCTTCTCGGCAGACTTGACGACGTAGCATTCCCACAGGCAAAAGTACAAGTCGAGCAGTTTGAGGGCTGGTGTAGCCAGGGCGTCGTTGTGGTGTAGAAGCTTCATGAACTCCGCCGTAAGGGAACCGGGTGTGCGCACTGGAACCTATGCAGTATTAGTGATCCCCTTCGTTTGCTATCGAAGAGGGTATGACCGACTTCGGGTTCGATGATTATACCGTTTAAAGGTTCCTGTGGATGGTTTCCCAACTTGGGTTCGTCTTCTGCATCTTGGGATACCCGACGCTGTCTCTTTGCCGACCGGTCATTTGGGGAAGGCGAAGTGGGATGGTCCATCGTGGCCTTTGGGGAATGAAATGCAAGAGACATTGTACAGAAGAGTCTTTTATAGCCCGGCAGCCACACTGAGGCTGCTGTCATTGCCACCCATAACCGTCCCGACCTGAGTTCGACCGCCTTCAAAAGAGTCAGTGAACGGTTACCTCAACCGTTGACGCTCGATCTCACCTGCTCCTCACCCCGAGTTACTCAATTTAATGTGAGAACGGGCAACAGACGAAGCCTTGAGATAAGACTTGTAGAAAATACCTCCTAATGGTAGTTTGCAAGTGTATCTTTGATGCATTGGATGCTCAAGAAGCCGTTGATGTCGAACGTGACTTTATTATGAACAAAATTATTCGAAGCGTGGAGGTACAGATAATAATTCCGAGTGTTGATATCAACTGACGCTGAAAATAGCCATTCTCGCATTGCATCATGAGAGGTGTAGATGTCGCTAGCTTTACAAACCACCAAACTTCCTCCTCGGAGACCGCTTCAACAACGTTTGAGGAGTGTTGTCGTCTTCCATTCTGCTGCGAATGGCCCTCTGGATGCAATCGTTCCTTGCTAGATCCAGGGATCTCTTCAAACTGAAGTATTTGAGTTTCGGATCCACCACAAGTGCTTCAACAATTGAGAAATGTCCACCCTTGACTGCCAACATCAATGGATCCTCAAACCATCGGTTCCTAAGGTTGACATCAACTTTAACATGGCGTAGTAGTGCCTGGACCATCTCCAAGTCATCACCACGGGCAGCAATGCAGAGTGCAGTGTCGTGAGATGCGATCGTGCTTTCATTGATGTTCAGACGTGTGCCTTGATGCACTAATAGCCTGACCATATCGTGATGGCCGTGTGCGGCCGCTCGGCAGATTGGCGGATCTATTAAACCCCTCCCATTGATCTCCACGCCCCCCAAATTCAGTAGACAAGCAACGGTGTTCACGCGTCCGTGCGATGCGGCAACCGATATTGGAGAATGACCTGCAACACAGAGGTTCAAATCGATCCCTAGCACCATAAGCAGCCGTCGTAGGAGCACGGTATCCAATCTGGTCGCGGCGTGGTGTAGAGATGTAGACGGCGTCTCGTGTCTCCCGCGGCCTCCAACAGAATTTACATTGATATCTTTCTCGGCCAACAGCCTTTCGGTGATCTCGTCGCATGACGAGTAAGTAGACAGCCAAAGCGGTGTGTTGCCATCTTTATCTTTGCAGTCCACGTTGGCAAGGGGGTGACTCAGGAGCAAGTTGACCATTTCCAGGCGTTTGCTCTAAATGGCGAGATGAAGCGGCGTATAGCCTTTCCGGTCCTGGATGTCCAAGTTCAAACCCTTTTGTCTAAGACGCTGCTTGATAGCTTCTATCGACCCATGGGATACTGCTCGATGAAGCGGTAGGTCAGCATCTTGTGATAATAGAGTACCAAGAAATACTTCGGAGTCGGGATCGTTAAAGAATACCATTTTCATCGCGGGACGATTGAAGCAACGTGCCCAGGCCCGTGGCGAATGGCCTGAATCATCCTGTAGATCAGGGTCGCTGCCACTAGAAAGTAGCAGATGCACGAACCCTATTCTGCCTGCGAAGACTGCTAGGTGGAGCGCCGTTCGGCCGTGTTTGTGCTTGACGTCCACCCTGACGTTGGGTTGTTCTAGGATGCTCTTGATTGTTGAAAAAGTTCCGCAGTGGATGGCATACGACAGGGCGCTGTCGCGCGCTTGATTTTGGATGACGATTTGAATACAACCATAGTAAAATCGGGCGGCGCAGTTCTCTTGTAGCCACTTCGGGTAGATCACAAGGATTAACCCGAACATGGAAAACAGGGCTGAAACCAGGGCCGCACTCACCATGCCATCAACGACGTTGTCCATGAGGTTTTGGAATGTGATGTCCAAAATGGAGTCGCTCGGGGTGACGAGGTCGGATTTTGCGTAGTCTGGCAGGACGACCGCAAAGCGTACAGTTGCCGAACTGAGACTGGCAAGGGCCATCCAGGCGATGGTAAGGAAAAGAATGATGAGACGCATTCAAATCATAGCCGCGGCAGTATTCACATGCATTTTGTGGCCGCAAGAACAGATTTACCGAGTGTGAAAAGGTGAGGCAGGTGTCGCTCAAGGGACCAGTTGAGCAAAGTCCATACACTTCGGCTAGAAGCCCTACGACCCTATGACGTCCCATCGTGTGCCGTATAGCCAGGAGTATTTATAAGCGCCGCCGCCAACATTATCGGCCCCGTAGACCAAAAGATCTGTAGGTGCGACAGAACTATTCATCGCGACGTCAGCCGACCCCCCCCCTGCCGCTTCGCCTCGTGGGCCTCCGGGGAGAATATTCCTTGCAACCCAAGATATTGAAGGCATTGTGTGTGCTTGGCTGACCTGGGGTAAGCATCTAGGTCTGCGTAGATGCCGCCTTTGGTATGGACGAAAAGCAATCTGGCAATGTGAGCAAGTTGGATATTGTGAGGATATCCCATGTATCTTAGTATTGGACGGGCGTCGTATTAGGACCTGATGAATTTGAAGGTGTCATCGTCAGTCCAGAGCTTGACAGTGTGATTTTGGGGCTTGAGCATGGTCTTCCATGACTCGTGTGACGGTTTCATTTCCGTAGAATACTCTTGGATGTCGGTTGTTTTCCATAGTTAGTGGACAGTGTTGGGTATTCCAGAGTCGAGTAAACAGGGAAAGTTGTCGAGAGGTTCGAGGGCATCAGCAGTGCATCTGTTGATTACCCATATACATTCGGACAGCCGGTGGGCGAGGGCGAAATCGTAGCCGTAGCTGAGTTCTCTGTATGATTAAAATGATCATTATCAGTAGCTCTCATGTTTCTCCCCGCCCCTACTTATTCCCATACATTTACAAACAGCTAAATACGGGAGGTGTGAAGAAGCTCCGCGGGGATGAGAAGCAAGCAGTAAATTGTTGTCATAGATAAAAGTCACCTAGCTAAAGTGGTCTTGATTCAGCCGCTGTACAGGTTTTAGTCTCTTGTAGCCATCGAGAACCAAGAATTTCAGATGATAGAGGCCGGCGCACGTAGTCAATATCCAGCATCGAATATATCACTCGTCGGCTTGCTATCTATTGCTGCAGAGTTAGCACACCAACCAGATAAGACAGGAGATCAGTAACGAACATTGCATATTTCCTCAATAAAGAAGTACCCTTTTTCAACCATACGGTCTGCGACGTAGTCTCGAAAATACTCATCTTGATCGGTCGCTATCTTCCATGGAATCCTACCCGTTCTCATCACAATGTAGTTTATAGCTGCAGCCCAAATGTCGACTGATCTAGCATCAAATTCCTCGCAAAAATATTGTTCCGGCGATACAAAAGGGCGTGATCCGCGACGTGTCCTGGACATATGTATATGGGGCTCCCAACCAAGGCGGAAACATTCAGCGCTCCCAAAATCTGAAATCTTGAGGCAACCATTAGGGCTGAGAAGAAGATTCTCGGGCTTCAAGTCGCGATGAGCAATTCCCATCTCATGGATATAGTTGACGCCACGCATGAGCTGCTTAAAGAAGCAGTCGGCCTCTGCCTTTTCCAACTGACCGGATGTAACTACCAATGAATGCAGATCCCCACCGGAGCAATACTCCAAGCATTCGCAAAGGCTGTCATTACCTATTTGAAGCAATTCAAACGTCCGAACAATATTTTGATGTTGTAATGAAGAGGATATGTCAAACTCGGACTCAACGCGCCTCCGGTAAGCTGTTTCAGTTAATTCTGCTCCGCGGCGGAAGACTTTGAGCGCGTAAAAGCGATGAATATTCGGGTTCCACTCTTGGGCTTTGTGCGACAAGAGGACGATTCCAGATGAGCCGTGACCCACGATATCGCATATATCCCCATATTTCTGCGCTAGGATTGCCATGTTTTCACCAGCCACGATGCCGGTTTGTTGACTCGCTGTCCATTGCTCCCATTCCAAATCCGCCGACGGTTGCGAGCAAGCTTTATTTCTTTTTTTGAAGGATATCCAGCTCGCGTTTCGATCTTTTTTAAGAAACCGTCTTTTCGACGATGGCGTTTTCAGGAAGTGGCAGTGATCCCCATTCTCGAGCATGAACCTTCTATCTCCAAAGCCACGTCTTCTTTTCGTAGTTGTCGGAAGTGGAAGCATGCTTTCGGTCGTCTCTAAACTCATTTCTGAGTCGATGGGAGTTCGAACTATTTGAGCTTGATTGAGTCTGCGATCGCTAGGGCTTTCGTGTTGTCTTTCGTGGGTGCAAGAACCAAAATGTTTTGACGCTGACTGAAGTAACTTTTGAAGACACTTAGGCATATTCTGGCGTCGTGGATCAGCCAACTGGGCTTGCTCCAAGGGTTGTGAAACAATAGTCGTGTATGCGAAACTAAACCTAACTCAACGTACATTGATGCGTTTAATAATTTGTCTTGCCTAGGGGACCAGCCGAGAGAAGGATGTAAGCAGATCTGTGCGTTGTTGCATCACGAGGCCAAGTCACCAGCCAAAACTCAAAATTTCAACACAACCACCCCCTCCGTATTCTTGGCAATTCTCCGTTTGCGGGGACTAGGCATTCTTGGCGCTCTTGGTACCGAATAACTCAATCTTGGCACTTGGAGGGTTTCTTGGCAGTATTGCCGGTCATTAGACGAGTCCCGACCAGTGTTGCGCGACTGGATATTTTCTTCGAGTATATTTGACTAATCGTGCCAAGCCCACCGAGTGCTATCGGTCTTGGCACTATTATTGCCTGATGACGGAGGAGACCGACTTACAGACCCAGCCCAACGTCTCGGCGCCAAGACCACCATCTCTTCCAATGACGGTTTCCTGAAACCGGCCGACCTGGGTGGCGACCCAGCGATATGCCAAAGCTAAACCTGGGCAGCCACACCGACTTCCTCACTCGAGCAAGAGTGGGAATTTTCGCCGGAGACTCAAAGAACACCGTTCCTCTCCGCACTGAGCTACATTTTGTTCAACTCTCCAATTGCTCCAGAATAAAATACGGATGTGCAACATCTCGGTAGTCATTCCAACGAGCGAAAGCTAGCTACTTTCCGGAAAACAATCTCCCAATGCTTGACGAGAAGCCTAACATCGCCCTCGACTCCGGGTCGGGCGGCAGCCCACTAAGCCAGCCAGCTCACACGTTAACTTACGAAGCCGTGATTAAAGAACTCAGCACTGAACTGGACGAGGGACTGGCCCCTGAAGAAGCGAGTCGTCGTCTCCAGCAATATGGTCCCAATAAACTGGACGAAGGGGAAGGTGTGTCGTTGTTCAAAATTTTCGTGCGCCAAGTGGCCAACGCAATGATGCTAGTAAGAGACCGCTATCTTTTGCAATGACATTTTGGAAACTGGTTGAAAATTGTTCAATTCTGATCTAGTCGTTTGTTGTAGGTGTTGATTCTGGCCATGGCGGTTAGTTTCGGAATACAGTCGTGGATTGAGGGCGGAGTAATCTGCGCTGTCATTGTTTTGAACATCATTGTTGGATTCTTTCAGGAGTACGCCGCAGAAAAGACCATGGAGTCGTTACATTCGCTCTCGTCCCCGACGGGAACTGTCTCGAGAGGTGGACAGACATTCTCGGTGCCGTCGTCGGAAATCGTGCCGGGTGACATGGTCGAGCTTAGAACGGGGGATACCGTTCCAGCTGATATTCGGTGAGTTTCCTATCAGAGTGTAACTGCGGGTTGGAAGCTATCAGGGCAGTTGTTGACCAATTTGCTAACACATATCAGCCTAGTTGAAGCAGTCAACTTCGAGACCGATGAAGCTCTCCTGACTGGCGAGTCTCTTCCCGTCCAGAAGGAATGCGACTCGACGTTCAAAAGGGATACCGGTCCCGGAGACCGCCTTAATATTGCCTACAGTTCCAGTACCGTCACTCGTGGCCGTGGGCGTGGTGTGGTTGTCAGTACGGGCATGTTCACAGAAATCGGATCTATTGCCCTCGCATTACGGGCCAGCGGCAGTAAGCGTCGTGAGGTCAAGCGGGGTCCCAACGGTGAGGCCAAGAAACGCTGGTACGTCCAGGCCTGGAGTCTCACCTGGGCGGATGCCGTGGGTCGATTCCTCGGTGTCAATATCGGAACGCCCTTACAGAGGAAGCTGTCAAAGCTTGCCTGTTTACTATTTGGAATTGCCGTTGTGTTCGCCATTGTCTGCATGGCTGCAAACAAATTTAGCAACAACACCGAAGTCATCATGTATGCTGTTGCAACCGGTATCAGTATGATTCCGGCGTGCCTGGTGGTCGTGCTTACAATCACTATGGCAGTGGGTACGAAACGCATGGTCGAGCGAAACGTAATTGTTCGCAAATTAGACTCACTAGAAGCGCTCGGTGCAGTCACAGATATTTGTTCCGATAAGACAGGTACATTGACTCAGGGCAAAATGGTTGTCCAAAAGGCATGGATTCCGTCTCGAGGGACGTATTCCGTGGGCCCATCTAACGAGCCTTTCAATCCTACCGTTGGAAATGTCACTTTCACCCCTGTACCTCCTTCCCAATTGGATTATGAGAAGGAAGATACTGCTACGGAGAACGCAGAAGGTTTGGTCTCGGGAAACCGCCAGCTCGAAGACTTTCTGGACGTCGCCTCGATGGCCAATCTCTCTCACGTGTACAAGTCCGAAGAGGGCGATTGGAACGCACGGGGTGAACCCACAGAAATTGCCATTCATGTATTTGCATCGAGGTTCAACTGGAACCGCGACCGCTGGATCAAAAAGGGTCAGGGTACAGTATGGCACCAACAGGCTGAATTTCCATTCGACTCAACCGTTAAGAAAATGTCTGTGGTTTTCAGCAAAGTCACCCCACAAGAGACCCGGACAATGGTGTTCACCAAAGGTGCGGTCGAGCGCATTGTAGATTCATGCATCTCTGTTATATGGGACCAAGCTTCGTCTAGCCCCGTGCCAATGACCAACGACCACCGCGAAAAGATCATCCAGAACATGGAGGAACTCGCCAAGCTGGGACTTCGGGTCTTGGCTCTGGCCCATCGACCGTACACTACCCAGACACAACTGCTCGAAGATTCCGACCTGAATCGTGAAGATGTAGAGAAGGATCTATGCTTCCTGGGACTGATCGGCTTGTATGATCCTCCGCGCCCAGAGACAGCGGGCTCAATCCAGGCCTGCTACCGCGCTGGTATAGTTGTCCACATGGTGACTGGCGATCACCCTGGCACTGCCAAAGCGATTGCTCAGCAAGTAGGAATCCTTCCTCCTAATTTTAATGCAGTGGCGGCTGATGTCGCGGACGCCATGGTCATGACTGCCAGTCAATTCGACAACCTCACTAATGAGCAGGTAGATGCGCTTCCGACTCTGCCTTTAGTCATTGCACGCTGCGCCCCGCAGACCAAGGTGCGCATGATCGACGCCCTTCATCGCCGTGGTCGCTTTGCGGCTATGACTGGAGACGGAGTCAATGATTCTCCTTCGCTCAAGCATGCCGATGTTGGTATCGCTATGGGACAGGCAGGATCGGATGTTGCCAAAGATGCGTCTGACATTATTCTCACGGATGACAACTTCGCCTCGATTCTCAATGCCGTCGAAGAAGGTCGTCGTATCTTTGATAATATTCAAAAATTCGTGCTTCATCTACTGTCAGAGAACATCGCTCAGGCCTGCACCTTACTTGTCGGATTAGCTTTCAAAGATGCTGATAAACAATCCGTCTTCCCTCTGTCACCGGTCGAAATTCTCTGGATTATTATGATTACATCGGGTATGCCCGATATGGGCCTTGGAATGGAGGTGGCTGCTCCTGACATCATGAACCGTCCTCCCCAGAGTAAGCAAGGCATATTCACCTGGGAGGTGATTATTGACATTCTGGTGTATGGTATCTGGACCGCAGCGCTCTGCCTGGCGGCATTTTCTGTCCGCATGTGGGGATTCGGCGACGGTAACCTGGCCCGTGGCTGCAACAAAGAGTGGTCTGAAGAGATCAAAGACTGCGAACTGGTATTTAGAGCACGTGCCACCACATTCGTGTGCTTAACTTGGTTTGCGCTTTTTCTGGCTTGGGAGATGGTCAACCTGCGCCGGTCGTTCTTCCGCATGCAACCAAAATCCAAGAAATACTTTACCCAGTGGATGTACGACGTCTGGCGGAACAAGTTCCTCTTCTGGTCCATCATGGCCGGATGGATCACCATGTTCCCTATTCTCTACATCCCCGTTTTGAACGACGTCGTCTTCAAACATAAACCTATCACCTGGGAATGGGGTATCGTGGCAGTCGAGGCTGTCCTGTTCTTCATCGGAGTCGAAGCCTGGAAATGGGCTAAGCGAGTCTTCTTCCGTCGCAGAGCCCGAAAACATCCGCAGTTAACTCCGTTGGAAGAGGTCCCAGAGCAACCCTAACGAATGCTTTCCCTGGCCTGACATCAAACGGGGCCGGGGAACAAACCGCCACTTAGTCTTAGCGCACACATCACGAGAAAAAAACTCACTCAAAGGACTTGAAAAAAGGACTCGAAAAATCAACACTGGAAATTGTGGATATCTGGAGGTACTGAGAATGGATTGTGGATGTTTGGGCTCATGAGCTCGATTATTCGGGACCGCGCTGTCCCGGTAGTTGTTTTCTCACCCACTAAATATGTAGATAGGTAGAAAGAGCAGTAGAAGCAATAGATTGGATCTCAATACTATTCTTCTCGTATTTTTTGAGTCGCTCTATTTACAGCAAATCCACCTCGGTTAATCGACTTCACTTTGATGCAGTCTTCACCGGGGGATGCTAACAGCGAACAATTTGGCGACTCTACATTCGTGTTGCAGCCTGAAATCTGCAGCTCTCTCGATGATAGAGTTAAAATTTAAGTGTAACCTTGCAAGCATGTTCGCCAATCAGAGCTTTAACCGCTGTGTTTAATCATGTGATTCTTTGCCGTGGGTAATATCCTAGCCGTGACTAAACATTCACCTACACCCGTTCCCTAGGTGAATGCTTAGTCACGGTTACCTAGTAGGCTAGAAAGCTGCTGCACGCCCGCTGTGGTATCTCAAGACACTTTTTTCTATTTGACAGAGAGGCCGGTCTCTATCAGAATGAGGGCGATCCCAAATCCTTTAGCATTTACTGAAAGGTTCCCACATACATGCAACATAATGCCTTTGGTAGAGGATTAGGCCATCTAGACTGCGACATCGCCCGTCCATGGGCACCTAGGGTTAGTAGGTAATGTTACACAAATTCGCAGTTCTGGCACTGTCGCAAATCACTTTCATTAGGGACTCACATATAAAAGGCACTTGGGTAGAACTAGTGAATTAGGTTAGTAACTACGGTGTAATGCGAGGTGAGTACCTCGGTAGGGCTGAGTGGATGGCGAAGTTTCGTTTCCGATAATCCAATGGTTTCTTCGAATTCACCCACACTAGTTCCAAGATTGTGAGGGACCACTCTTCAACTTAGTTTACAATTCCCCATTCTTCATTCTTCTTCAATCTTTGCTACAAGGTTAAAGACAAACCTCGAGCATGGCCAGTGGTTTCCTCCCATACCACGGGCCTGGAAGTATGTACACAAGCATATGCCGATTGATCTCTGCTCATTTCCTCAATGATAAATTACTGCAGCTATCGACATCCTCATTGTCGTTTCTTTCTTCTTTTTCCTTTCCCTTGCAATATGGGTCTCCGCGACGGCAATCCAGGCCGGAAGTATAGGTCAAATCGCCGTCGGCATCATCTACGGTGTACCTTTGGCCAATATCCTTGAACATCACTGGCAAGAGACTTTTGTTACTCTTGGATATGTCGGTCTGATTTTGATCATTTTCGAAGGTGAGTGGAAATTTTCATCTTACCTGGCTGCTTGGCTTCTTGGCTTCTTGGCTTCTTGGACACTGATGTCATCCCTTCTAGGCGGTCTTGACGCGCGTGTGGACTTGCTCAAGCAGAACTTCACTTTTAGTATGATCGGCGCCGCAACTGGAGTTTTATTTCCTATTGGTCTTTCATACCTTTTGCTCTATCTTGGTTTCGGATATGGTTGGTTTTATTTGCCTCAATTCCTACAGTCAACAGCTAACATGGACTAGGCGCGGTTGAGACCTTCATCATCGGCGCATCTCTTTCCGCTACTTCACTCGGTAAGCTATCTTTCCTCGGAATTGGGGTGACTATGTTTCAATTGCTGATAAATATTAGGGACCACCTTTGCTGTGATCAGCTCTGCGTCGAGCTCGGTCAACCTCGCCGAGACTCGAGTGGGGTCCGTTTTAGTAAGCGCTGCTGTTATTGACGATGTTGTAGGACTTGTTATGTTAAGGTGTGGTACTTATTTGAACTGGAGCAAAATATGCGGTCAATTCATCAAGCTAACTACATAGTGTGATTGGCGACTTGGGCAAACTTTCAGGTGAGTACAACAATGTCAACCTAGGCTGGCTTATCGGGCGCCCGATAGTGGCATCGATAGGCATGGCCGTCGTAACGCCCATCGTCACCAAATGGATATTTGCGCCTTTCTTCCGAAAGTTCATTGAACACCGCTTTGCGCGATTCGACCATATCTCCAACATCATCCTTATGACCCTCGTTCTTTCGGCGTTTATTTCCATCGCTGGATTTACTGGTACATCGGTCCTATTTGGTGCCTTTTTGGCAGGTGTATTTCTCACTTACATACCGAGCAAGCACCCCGAAGGACCATTTATTGTCATGAGCCGCGAGGAAGGCGAGCGCGAGGCGGAAAAAAGCCCCACTTTCGTTCATACCTTTGAGAAATATCTGTTAGGATCTCAGCAGTATTTGATGGAACCTTTGTTCTTCGCAAGTATCGACTTCGCGATTCCATTCTTGAAGCTGTGGACGGGGAAACGAATTTGGAGAGGGGTGGTTTACACCCTCCTCATGGCGTTTGCAAAGGTATATCGATACTCTCAGTCATTTTTTAGAACTTGAGCTAACAAATCTATCTAGTGTGTTGTCGGAATCTGGATCCCCATCTGGCAACTCGTTCTGGTGGGCGAGTCCCAAAGCAAGAAAGAGCAACATGAACAGCAGAAAGGACCAGGACAACCCAACAATGAGGACAACACAAGCCACGAAAAACAAAGCAAGCAAACTAATGGGAAAAGGTGGAATCGGGCCTGGCTCGCCGCAACACTTTTAGGATCTGCCATGGTAGCACGCGGTGAGATTGGGCTTTTGATAATCGAAATCGGACACAACGAAACTCCGTACGTCAGTGACGAAGGTTTCTACACTGGCGTCTGGGCCATTCTTTTGAATACCATCATTGGTCCGGTTTCTGTCGGTCTCCTGGTTCGATTCTACGCGCAAGAGCTCAAAGGGGGTGATTGGGCAGTGCAGCGTCCTCCACTGCCTATCTCGGGCCATGCTATTAGTGGGCACGGTGCGGTATAGACTCTTTGTGCGAATATTACATGTGGGCTGGAAGGATATGGCTCTACATAGAATGTGGACGTGCTATAGGGGAGAGGTATGCATCTTCATATATCTGACTGATAAGCCGAATAATCCGAAAAATGTGAATAAAAATGTGAATAGGGGTTATATTTGTATAAATTCGAAAGCTAACGAGAGTATTTTGAGTCTAGTTCCTTAAATCATGGGAAAGCCAGCTATTTAACGAACAATGCGGGAATGTCTCGCTTATGAAAATGGATCCCTGGGGGCTTGTTCGTAGATGAAACCTCTACCTTGGATCCTAAACTAGGCCCTGGAGATGATGTGCTGAATAATATGAGACCTATGCCCGAATGGGAAATGTAACCCTTGTATCAGTTGATGGATCTCAGCAAAATCCTCATAAATCTATTTAACTTAATATATTGTTCAGTCTTCGCTACTGGACCATGGTAAATCGTGGACTTGAAGTAGCTAAAGCAATTCCACGGAGGTTTAGCAATGAAGATGGAATGGATCCTTTGGGGGTGAATCAATAAACATGATGAATAATCTATGCACATTTTTTGTTAACCAAAACATCTTTGTGTTTAATATGTTGTATGTTGCTCGCCATATATAGACGTGACTTTTAATTATGCTCTCCCATAATAATAGAACAACAAAATATCTAAGCATAGAACGAATTAAAGGACATAAGCCCATAGCTGCATCGCTGTAATAACGAAAATACAAGATTTAAGTTGATGGACAGGCGGAAAATCGCTAACTGAAATCAGATAAATACCTAAACATACTGTATCGCCGTGCTAAAACCCACCGGGCTATGATAATGGCGACTACCATTTCGTACAACGCTACAAATTCTGGGTTTCAGGCAAGGGTAATTTGTTCACTTGTATCCATGCCACTGCCCGACTGTTTTTCGACGAGGCCTATCTCGGTCCCTTCATCTGGGACATCAACCGTTTATTGGGTTCAATCACCCTGGTCGGGTACGCGAAAGCTCAGCGACAAGCAAATCACGCGACTCGTGAGGGCGTACGCTGCAGCGTACCGCGAGCGGATTCATACCCTGGCCACCACCACAAACCAAGATGAGGTACCACGCTTTACCCTAGACACCGCCAAGGATCCGTTGCTGAATGCATTACGCACAGCCTGTACGCAAACCCTTGTCGATTTGCTCAGCTCAATGACGGAAATGCATGATGTTTCATCTCGGGCAGTGGAACTATTGAGCTGGACTCTGGCACACAAGAGGAAGCCGTGAAAGCTTTAACCGCTATCTCGAGACACTTCCCGTCTCAAGGCAGGACCGCGCCACCCTGTACCGCCTCAAGGACGTGGTGGGCCGTCGGGATGTGGGTATTGGCTCTGCAGGCCTCCCATCATACAGCATCCTGCTAGAAGACAGAGTGAGGCGCTGGAGGACGATGTGGTGATATACATGAAACAGTCCGCGGCTGCAGCGGTTTCCCGTCACGTTACAAACAGCGCAGCACGTCCATACTTCTATCACGAGGGCCACCGTACTGTCATCTCGCAACGCGCTTTGCAGACGTACGCGGACGCATAGCTGGGTTGGACTGAGATATATGGTGTTGGCCAGCTCGTCACAGAGGTTTCCCCGTACGCGGTGGACCTGGACTGGTCAAATTTCAACGACCTGGAGGATATGGCGGCAGTGGTTGCCCACCTGGGTACGGCCACTGCCATGATGCACGGGGCTGGAGACGATGACGGTGGGCACTCCAGAGCAATCCATCGATGCGGCTATAACAGCCGATAGGATCGCTTTGTGGACGCCCTTGTAGAATTTGCGCATGAGTACAGCGCCCAGACGCGGCGAGACCACCAGATCTTTATGGATGTTTCGCAATGGCCGCATTTCAGGACTGCCTGCCTGTCGACAGCGAAAATTAAATAACTTCTCATTGTTGTCGATAGATCGTACTAGTCATGTTGAACAGCTCTTCTTGAAGATATTCAACCTGCAAAGAACACAACATATGCACCTGAGTATACCTGACAAATATCTATGCGTATATACTACTTGATAATTACACAAAAGGTACATATTCATATAATGTCGCTAATTGCTTAGCAAAACACTAACCCCGGCGGGTTTTGAGTGTGTCAGGGTCGGGTCTTCCCAAGGTATATCTGTACATGTCGCTAAGAATGAGGTTCGCTTTGGGTATCCTAAACGCAGGAAACAAACGCCTCCTTGTTCCTTGCTTGTCTGTTCTTCTCCAGCCGTGTCTTTTCTTCTTCGGTGATGCCCCGTGGTTTAGGAAAAAGATCGGCATTAGCAGTGATAACAGACAGACCACGATGTCTCCCTCGCAATGCAACTGCAATTAGCAATAGCTTGCTAAATGTGTGCCAGGCACCACAAAAAGAATAGCTTTGGCCGGGATAACCAAAACTCACACCGACGCAGCTGTATGCAGACACAGCTTCGAAAATGATCCTAAACGTAGAAAAAGCCAAAGGTTCAGCTTCGAAGTGATCCGATTCAGTGATGGCTATGAGAAGGATGGCGAGGGAGAGCCACCAGATATCGTGACTAAATTGAGAGCGAAGTTGTTGGTAAACGAAACGGGCATGAGGAAAACTTGAGAGGCTCGAGCGATGGGGTTCTTTTTGACGCAGGTCTGTGAACCATTTGGTTCCGATATTTGTGCTACTAGTATGTTACAGTCGAATTTCAAGCAGTAAAATCGGGGGCTATCATACCTGATGGTGGCTGAGACGGGGAAAGCAGACAAATACTAGAAAACGGCATGTTTAGCTACTGATGTTATTTTGAGCAAAGAACAGAGTTCCCACCATCATAAAAACTAAATGACACCCTGTTAGTAGATTACCTATCCAAAGCGGGACTTTCATTTCGAATAAAGAAGCACATACTGTATAGAATAAGCAATCCCTGTGGCAATCGATCAAAAGCCACAACAGAGAATCCACCGCCACGCACGGCTTTATTCTATATTAGCTCTATTCAATAATTCATGGCCGAAATGAAATACCTAAAGCCTGGAAAAGCCCATCTAGGATCCGGAACTTGATTGGAAGAGAGCTAATCTCCTCGTTATGAATGGCAGAAACCTCAAAAGCACCCCACATGATGGCAATAAGGACAATGATTGTGCCCAGTAGAAACCACGTATGCCAAACAGGGTACAAGTAAGCGCAGACTTTTGGGGATTGAGCGAGAGTAAAATCGAAAGTTCGTCTCCACAACTGCCAAGTGGGATTATTTGGCAACATCTTTCTTAAAACCCAGATGAAGAACCGTAATAAGCAGGGGAAAATCGTGTTTCCAGCAAGGATAAGAAGGCCACAGGAAATAAGTGGAAAGGTCCTGGGGGGCTGTGTCAACAAAACGCCTTGACAAATAGTTTTCTGCAAGGCACGAATTACTCACTCTTTTTGATAAGGACCCATATTAGTATCAATGAGGGACATCCCGTTGTTACAAAAGGCAGATGTAGCAAGAAAAGCGCCTGCCCAAAAGGGGAGGCTTCATCCTCCCGTGGAATATCTGGGCGGACGAAGTTTGACCAGAGACCGATGCTCACGATACCAAGAATGAGGAAGCCGATGAAATAGAGTACAACAAGCACTGCAATCAGATAAAGTGCCCTGTACTCTACCTCGCCTGATTCATTGCAGTTGATTGAGTCTCTGCAGGGGAGGTGGTTAGCTGCTGGTTGCACCATGCTCTTTAGCCAGGAACTCGGGCTTGAGATATGTGCCTTCCGAGTGCCGACATCCTTCTTGTCATCAAGAATGATGGAAGTAACTCGCTGGATTTGGTCCAGATGTCTCGGGTCTGTGAGAACGATAACGCCATAGTCGTTCCATGATCCTTCAGGCCCGCACTGAGAGGAAACATCTGATTGAACCTCTCCCACTACAGTGGTGGTTCTTGCCTTGCCTATAACTTTGGTATACAGAGCACCCTCTTTATCACAGGCCAGTTGTTTTTCCTCTATTTGCAAGGTCGATATTCTTAACCCTGTTTGCTTTTCTTTTTCTTTTTCCTTGTTTGAGTTATATTTCAGAGAAGATCGGAGCTTCCAGGCACGCAATAGAGAGATGGTTGCGATGATAGGAAAAGCATGTCCGAGAATAAGAAGGGAAAACAGGGTGCCCTGCTGTAAAGGGTCTAGTGTAGACAGGTCCATCTTAAAAAAAGGTCAGCCGCTATATCGAGATGCCAACTATCGGCAGTGCAGGACGTACCACATTCAGCCCAGTCCCCGTCATAGCGCTGAAACACATGAACAAAGCATCAGAATAGTGGAGACCATAGATATTCGACGGCACAGCGTAGAATATGATACTGCCGGTGACAGATGTGAGAATAAAGTAGGCATAGTGTAGTGTGAGTGGACTGAATTGCAAAAGATCAACCATGATCGGCATACTGAAGTGGGAGTCGTCGTAAGCATTGTCTGAGTTCAGGGCTGGCCCAAACCATATAAGGATGATCGGATTTTACGACCCAGCAGCAGCCGAAAATATTTGTGCAAACTACGTGAAGCCCCCTTCCATAAGGAATGTAACCGTGTTATTGTCTCGTCTTGGCCGGGTTCTTAGCGACTTTCATCAGGCACCATTCATTTCAGGATTCACAGGCTTAGCTGGTTTTAAGGTACGGTCCACTACATTCTTCGGATGCAAGGCTCAAATATGTGGGACTGGGATTCTTGGGGCTTTTCTAGTTTCGATGGGTTTAGGCAGTTAATCATAAGAAAAGGGCAATATCGTGACCGTCACAAGACTGGTGGCAACCAAAAGGAATGGATAAGGTAGCTGTCGCAGTATAGAAGCTTTTTAAGAGGGAGATCGAGCCATTTATCCTAATGTCACTTGAATAGGATCGCCAGGATGCCATCCACTTGCAGGGTTATGTAGCTAATTAAGGTGAGTCTAAGATAATGTAATATGTTAGGCAAGTTTATTCTGTTGAAGGGTTGCATTTACACTTGAATGACTGAGTGGTCGAGTTTCACTCCTATGGAATTCGTCTTCTCGCCAAAAGCCATTACATATAGCGTGGCTATACAATAGCTCAGTCATACAGCAGAGTTTCCATTTATTCCACCGAAATTGTCAAGTATGAAGGCAATGGCCCTTGGATCTAGCTACCCCAAGGTGTAGAAAGGAGTAACAGTGAACCAATCACACGTTGTCTTTCCAAAGACTTTCTAGTTTGTTTTGTTCGCATACAAACGGGTTAGGTTAACCTGTTAACGTGTTTCCCGGACACCGAGTGCGCAGCTCGCCCGGGAAATACGTTATTGGATGTTTATTTAATAGCCAGATGCATCGAACGAAAAAACCGAGAGGGTATTCCAAAGTCCCCACTCTCCAGTAAGTTCCTATTCTCCTGTAAGTCCCTATCCTCCTGTAAGTCCCTGTTGAGAATAATACATTCCCTAGTACGCAGGCGGTTCACTGCCCCCTTTGGAAGCAGTTAGTGTTCTGCCGGAATATCATGGAGCTATGCGATGGAATTATGGCTGTATCACAAATTATGGGTAACCTCAGTGGAATGCAGCTCTCTAAAATAACAGACAAAGAATTTCAACATCTACCTCCCCCCCAACCTAGCCGGGGTAGTGAATCAAGCCGGAATCTCACCCCAAAAACACTTTCTACGGAGAAAGAACTACGTCGACAGGCTTCATCAATCAAAGCTTTACTTCGAACAAGATCTCGAAGTCCACCAAGCCCACCGGATCGTACATTAAACCAGCTTATAAAAGGTTTCCGCCTTGCAATGCAAGGTGCCATCTTACTTGCGAAAGAAAATAAGGAATTACGCGCTGAAAACGAGAAGCAGAAGCAAAAGCGCACTAGATCCCAAAGGCAGATACCTACGGAAGAAGGCCTCTCAGTTTAAGAAGCTTCTCAATTGATTACTGAGCTGGTGGAAGTAGTTGAAGCACCTCCCCCTGGGCAAAGCCGCGCTTCGCCGGCTTTACAACCACGTATATGGGCTACACCAAGGTGTAGTGGGTGTAATAAAACAGGTCATCCATTTAATAGGTGTCCAGATAGATGGATCATTTTAGTGTAATTAATTTAATGGAGTTTTGGTTGAGATATATGCATTTAAAATTAGTAGGTTGGGTGGGGTGGCCAGCTCGCTTGTGAAATACGTTAGTTAGTTATTCACAGCACCATTAATAATAGATTGCAGTCCTTGTTCTTACAAACTCCGAACAGTCATATTGTTCAAGTGACATGTACATGGCTGGTACAAAACTTTTCCTATGTTAGAATAGGATTCAAGAGCAAGCAGTGTCCTCTCGCCACATAACAGAATAAGACCGCTTGCTGCCAGTCTAAATTGCTTGTTGCTTAAGATCTGAAGCTATTATTCGAATGGCCGGGCATTGGTTTCTAATCCGGCAACGTCGGCAAGATGCGACCTTGCAAACACTGTGATTATATCACAGATATTCTTAATCAACGCTTTGATGAACTGTGGGGCAACGGCCTCGCGTGAATGAGGTATTACAGGAATTTGCTTTTTTCCGCTAGATAAGAGAATATTCTAGACCAACGGATTGTTGAGTTCCCTGACTTACAAGCTAGCGCGTGGTATATAAACCTCAAGCGCTGCCTCCATCCAGTCTCTTGCACAATTACTTATACGAGAATCGAGGCATCGCCTATGAAGCTTTTTCTTGTTTCATGATCCTCTCAAGAGACGGTTGCCACTTGTACCCGTAAATTACGGGCTATTTTAACAATCGAATCGCCTTTCAACGAACTGTTCCACAACGACTGCTCAACCGATCACAAAGGCACATCATGGCTTAGCCTAGTGTATTATTCGTCTGCGTTCACAATGCCAGTCGCTCCCGAATGGCCGCCGGCTATCTCATTTATCTTGCTGGCGACACCATTGAAGTCCGGTCTGTCTGATCGGCCCCAGCTGACTCCGTCAATCCCATCGTTGTTGAAGCTATGCGTGAAGAAGGCGTCGACTTCAGCAACCAAAAACCCAAGATTCTTACTGCCGATGCGGTCCAAGATAGCGATGTTGTCATCACTATGGGCTGTGGTGATGCCTACCCCTTCTTCGCTGGCAAACGCTACCTCGACTGGCAACTCAATGACCCCGCCAGGCAAGGCTTGGATGCTGTACGGACCATCCGTCACGAAATTCGTCAACACATCGAGAGACTCATCACCAAACTCCAATGTTATGCGTGAAATATTTGAGAAGGTTGCCCAACGTAGCTTTGAACCACTACTCAATAGATTGTTATGGGTGCATATAGCAGAGTGGGAGATGTAGCATCGGAAAAATAGCAGCATGGCGAATCGCCGGGGCTTCCTAGAGGCAGTCAACAATGCGTAAATGAGCCCAATGTGTCGAATACTAAGATTGAATACAGGGTGGAAACAAGGTATAATACCCAGAAAATCATGTGACAACTGGTACCATCCGTACCATACAAAAGTGCATATTACAGTTAGTCATCTATGTCCGCACAGATTGTTGAAAATGCGGGTTTTGTCATTTTAGTTAGTTAGAGATTCCAATATATCTGTTTTTGACCATACGTTGTCGTACCGACAGATTTCTGTCACAATGCTCTAACTTGATTCTGACTCCGCTAGCTCGGATGACTGCCAAGAAAGCCCTTTCCATTGCTTGGCGTCGCCTCCGTCAAGTAACACCAAATGCAGTGACATTCCCCGTCCAAATAGGCTTTCCTAGTCCCGTATTGTGGTACAGCACGTGTTTCATTTCCGTATCTTTGATTGGTTGAGTTGACTTTAGTGCGATGGGGGAACTTACCTAAACATCTTGGCTTCCACCCATCCATTCCAGTTATGGATCCCGCGTGGTATTTAACCTAGAAGGCACGACGACCAAAGGTTTTATAGGGAGCACTGCTCACGTTTGAGAGGATCTCATACTCCTTATATATCTTATAATTTGTGCTTGAGCGTTCTATCTGCGCAGCAGTTGACGAGCAGTATGCCACTCCTCGCCCCCTTTTCCCAAGGCCTCTCCTCCCTCGCCCGGCTGGATCACAAATGGGGAAACCGAGTTTCAAGGGAAAATGAGGGATCGGAAAAACCTCTGTTGAGTCTTTTGTTGGACGTCTTTCTGCGTACATGGGATCTAGGCTTTACAGCCTTCGGAGGACCGCCAGTACACTTCCAGATACTACATAGCAGGTTCGTGGAGGGAAAGGGCGACAAGGAAAAATGGGTAGATGAGCAGACTGTACGATTCTCCCTTATCCTCATGTTGGCGCGCCCCAATGTCATAGGGCCTCCTAACAAATTTCATAGTATCAGGAACTCTTTGCTATCTGCCAGGGTCTTCCTGGTCCCGGCAGCACGAAGATGGTTTTCTGCCTAGCCCTATTACATGCAGGATTTATTCCTGCCATGCTTGTGTTTTTACTTTGGAGGTGATTCATACCCTTATGCTGCAAAGCCGGCCATCTGTTGATCTTCAACTAACGGTGTCAGTCTTCCTGGCGCAATTGGCATGTATGCCCTCTCACTTGGGGTGCAAAAAATGAGTGAAACTCTTCCCGAACCTGCCTACGCCTTACTTTCCGGCCTCAACGCCTCTATAGTAGGTATCGTTGCACTTGCGGCCGTACAGTTGGCCGAAAAAGCTATTCGCGATAAACTATCCCGCATCCTTGTCATCTTTGGCGCATGTGCTGGTCTATGTTACAATGCGCTCTGGTATTTTCCCGTGCTGATGGTTATTGGTGGCTTTTTCACGAGCCTCTGGGATGGATGGTTGTATCAACGATTTTTGAGAGCAAAAATCGCTTGGAAGAACAGATATCGTCGTCCTCAACAACCGGACGAGGCATATGGGGACCCTATCGCCATGGACGATACAACCCTGGAAAATAATAGAGTGCAAGGGAGTGAGACGACGCGATCACGAAGGACGGATCCTAGAGTTGAAGGACTACCACAGAGCACAGTTGATACTACAAGCCCAACGCAGTCCGCTGAAGCTCCTTCACAGCAGCACATTATCCGGATTCAGGTCGGAGTTTTGATTACCTGTCTCTTTTTTGGTGTGCACCCCATCCTAACGAAATACCTGAGAGTCAACACTAATATAGTTAGCCTCCTTCATCTCAATTCTTGTTGCCAGAGGCCAGATCGCCGCCCCCCCACTGGTCCTCGACCTCTTTGCCAATATGTATCTTGCTGGCACTGTCATCTTTGGTGGAGGTCCTGTTGTCATTCCCCTCTTACGCTCCTATGTCGTCGATCCCGGTTGGGTCTCTAGTAGAGACTTCCTGATCGGCCTTGCCATTATTCAAGCCTTTCCCGGTCCCAACTTCAACTTCGCTGTCTTCTTGGGGGCGTTAGCACTCCAGGGCTCGCAATTCCCGACCGTCTTCGGTGCGTTCCTCGGCGGTTTAGGAATCTTCCTTCCGGGAATCACGCTAGCCGTTGCAATCCAAAGCTTCTGGCGTGTGTTGCGGAAGAAGAAGTACGTGGTCGACTTCCTCAGAGGAGTGAATGCCACTGCAGTGGGGCTAGTATTCACAGCTGTATACCGGCTGTGGGAGATTGGATACTTGATTTCTGAAAGAAGCGACGGACAGAGTCTGGGTAAGGAACCATGGTGGGTGGTTGTTGCGGCGGTAACATATTCAGGGAGTGCTTGGTTCAATGTGCCCCCATCCGTGGCAATTGTAATGGGTGCTATCTTAGGGTTATCCTGGTATGGAGCAGTGGGGCGATAGCATATTCTGGCAGCCATCATTGTTCAGTATATGTGTGATATGGTGCAAAGCGACGGGTCAATTATTTTTTTCATATACTAATTATATCGCTCACGAGTCAAATCGGGGTGTCGCCTAGCCGGGGAGGCAATAGCGGGACTTAGGAGGCAGGGCATGGCTAACCCAGGCCAGTTTGCAATTATGCAGTGTCTGCTCCTAGACCAAGGCCCGCATAATTGATACACTATAGACAAGGTACTTCTGTGGCGATGACCGATAAAGTGAATGATTCTCCTTCTCTAAAGCACTCGGACGTCAGCTGGCAGTTAAAGGACAACAGTCGCTCCAAATTTGCCTTGGTGTGGTCCTGTTTGTCGACAGAGGATAGGAAACAGCTAGGCCTAGTTCGAAATGTGATTCGAGGACCCCTCACAAGCCACGGTCAATCTGGCCACTAAATTAGTAACTAGCGTTGGAGACCAATTACCGTCTTGAAGTTGACAGACAGATCAAGCAATTGCTTCTCGGCGAATCTGATGTAGAGGAACGCGAATGCTGATAGTTCCGGCGGTGAAGACTGGCAACTCCTATCCCGGACTACGTGTTTCCTGAACGAGCGCGGCTTGTGGAGAACTTTAATGGGATGGTCCTGTCGCAGAAGACTTTGATGAAGACAAACTACTCACTCGACGCATCCAGGTGACCAAGGACATGGTTGGGTTTCCACTGTTTTGTGAACCGAGCAGGCGAGGTAACCGCGAGAAAGGAACCAAGATATGTATCTCTCGGCATTTCGTAGATGATATCAGAAAGTGGGTTAAGAGCGTGAAGAAAGCGATGCTGTTTACGAAATTCTTTAGGCTGGACGACGCTGTCACTAGAGTGTCATCGCGTTATTCAGAAATGTCTTCAAACTGGTTGCGATAGATGGTGCGGTTCCTGCTAGTATTCACAAAGGACCTACCGCGTGTCAGTTTTCTCTCTATATTTGGTTACGGAATATGCCGAAATGCCACTTATGTAAACCTGTCTCATGAAAATAACGTCCTGTTCTAGTAGTCGAAGTATGATGACCATGATGGATCTGTATGGTGCACAAAAATCCTGCATATTGGATCAAATGATTGTTTCCCGCCGGGCAAGTCGAGGGGATAATTATTTATTCGAGTTCAACCTCCTTGAGATTACAATACCGGCCAGCTTTTGTTTTCTATAAAGTGATAGGAAGATATGTCAGCGACTCCAACTGGCCCAACAACCTCCCCTGCTGTCACCGCAGTTATATGCGCTGCCTTGGTCATCGGTCTATGATGAGGATTCACAGAAAATTTCACCGAGCCTTAAACAATCAAACTAACATGTCTATCTATCAAGTCTCGCTGCCTTTACTCGTTGGTTCTGTTGCGTCCGAAGACGTTTCACAGAAGGAAATCCTGCGGCAGTTCCTCCTAGCTATATCCAGCTGCAGGCAAACCCGTCCAAAATGCAGGAGTCCCTCCCGACCGTACAGGACCTCAATAAATACTTACCTATGATCGAATACAAAATATGGAGTCAACAATTCCAACAAAGGTGCCATGTGAAAAGTGTATTTTCTTGAAATGCAGGATTCTGCTAATGAGTTACATAGAATGAGCTCCCCTCAAACTGTGACTGAAGTTCAGAAGACCTTGTCGAACCCTAATTTATCAGTGCTACTTCCCCAGTCACCGACTGAAGACCCAGTGCATTTGCCTAGATTGAATGCAGGAGTCGAGGCTCAAGATCAAGCAAAGCTTTCTGAGGAAGTTGTGGGTAAGGACAAACATTTTGAGTCGTCTTTTACCTCAAAAGCCCTTAAAAGTAATTGTCAGGCTACACAGAGTGCCTTATCCCCATTTTTGCCCGTAGGTATAACGGTTTCCGGTGATGCATGCGCCATATGCTTGGATACCATGGAAGATGAGATCAAAGTTCGCGGCCTCCCCTGTAATCATGCTTTCCATGTTAACTGTGTGGACAAATGGTTACTCTCGTCTAGCGTGCTGTCCAGTATGCAGATTTGCTTGTAAGATACCTCCGAAAGCGATATAAAAAGAATTTGATAGTTAATTTGCTTCTTTGGTCACAATGACCTGCTTGCATGCTTCATTTCCAAAAGTGTGTCCGCTCGGCGAGATGTCTTCTACGTAGTCGTCGCCACGAGAGCGATACCTGACAGTAACAAATATTGGTTTCGCTTCAAACCCCCCCCCCCCCCAACAACCCCAAAAAAAAGGTTGGACGACTTGCTCCAAAGCCAAAAGCCAACAAACCATCAATACGTTTCCTTCACCTGGCTGTCTTTTGTGGCTCGACATAAAACATGTGAGGCCTAGTAGCCCGCCATCGTATCGGGTGAAAATAGGTAGGAGTGATTGTCGAATGCCCGTGCATACTTCCTCGCTTTGGGTTACAGGCATAGGTCAGGCTCATCTGACAACAGCGACCTTTTTTTTTTACCGTGCGAGGCTTGGTCACACCGTTCGGTTTCCCTTATTGCGGGCGATACGAGACGGATGGGTGGTCAAAGCATGCTTATCTATCGGCGACCACCGGTATTAACGGGGAAACAGGCTGGTACCGCCGCAAACGATAGTGCACAGCCCCAAACGTGATTTGCCTGCAAATCCCTCACCCAAATTCGTACCTGCCCCCGGTAGTGACAATTATTGAAATCACGATAATGTCGCAACTATATATTGAGTTTGGCAGCCTCTTCGTATGGGTTATCACCCTCAGCGTGCTGAGCTTGGGTATCGTATATCCTGATGGTAACCTGAAGGCAGTTGATGCTTATTTCTTCGGCGCCGGCGGCGTCGGCTGAGTCGGGTCTGAATACGCGTGTTTCATTACTTATTCTTTTCGATCTCAATGGTCCAGCTAAACGAGGATTCACTGTTGATGTTTAGCGTCGACGTCAAGTCCTTTAAGACCTACCAGCAAATATACATCTTTTTCATCGATTGTGGAACGTAGCGATTTGATCTGCGCAAGGGATTCTTTCTGCTTCACCTTTTCGTTCTCGTTGACAACAAACATCTCTTCAATAGTGATTGTTTTCCTCTTCTTTATATCAAGGATCTCGCTGTCGGCTTTTCTTCAGCTCGTCATCTCTGTATTGAATTTGTTCCGGTGTTGGGCAATCTCACTAAGCACGACTGATGCGAGTTGAGATTCAGAGCTTGCAGCTAGCACACTGATATGGCCGAGAAAGCTCTTCAGGCTATTGCTGTTGACCGTATGTGGAGCGTCATGTTTCCCTGCCTTCAAAGGAATTGACTCAATAGGAGACATGATTACAGTACTGCACTGAGGTTGGATGAGACCACCCCCGCACCATGGTGCTGTTCGAGGACATGCTCCAGTCACGGCGGGCATGGACTCGGACCATTGAAAGGGTTAAGGCATCTCATTGGAAACAATTCCTCGACAAAGCGGGCGAAGGGAAATTATGGAAAGCAGCGACGTACATGAACCACGAGACTCCTGGGGCTGCATTCCCGCTCTCAAGGTTGGTGACAGGGAGTTAATTGACAACGCGGAGAAAGCCCAAGCGTTCATGACCTCGTTATTTCCACGAGCTCAAGAGGAACCACCCGCTCATGTCCCAGCCGAAATCCGATGGCATCCAATCTCAGAGCTTGAAGTCCATCGGCCACTCAAGGTTGCAAAAGGCACATCAGCGCCAGACGAGGACAGGCTCCCCACGTTGGTCTGGAAACGCCTCTGGAAATACCTCGGATACATCATCACTCGGATCTTCGTGTCGTCGATCAAACTAGGATACCACCCACAGCGATGGAGAAGCGCACGAATTGTAGTGTTATGGAAACACGGGAAACCAGACTACTCGCTACCAGGAGCCTACCGGCCGATCTCGCTACTTAACATACTCGGGAAACTACTGTAGACGGTGGTGGCCCGACGTCTATCTTTCTTCGCCGAACACTATAGGCTCCTACCAGACACCCAGTTCGGCGGACGTCCGGGACGTACAACTGAACAAGCTCTCTTGGTGCTTGCTAACGCAATTGACCGAGCATGACACAGGCAGAAGGTCGTCACACTGATGGTATTTGACCTAAAGGGAGCCTTCAACGGGGTAAACAAGACAGGCCTGGGTACTCGCCTCCAATCCAAGGGCAACCCCTCGGTGGCCCGAAAGTGGATAGCCAGCTTCATGGGAGGACGTCAGGCCAACACCGAGTTCGACGACTACAAGACCGAGGAAGGTGCCGTTTGACAATGCTGGACTCGCGCAAGGCTCCTTACTTTCACCCATCCATCCTCTTTGCATTCTTTAATTACGACCTGGTCGACCAGCCGGTGGATACCTTCGGTGGAGCACCTGCTTTCATCGACGATTACTTCCGCTGGCGAGTGGGCTTGAGCGCCGAAGAGAACTTGGCCAAAATTCAATCTGAGGACATACCCCGGATCGAAGCCTGGGCCTAAAGAACTGGGACCTGCTTCGCTGCGGAGAAGACCAAACTCCTTCACGTCACCCGGAATACCATTCAACCATCCACGACTGCCAAGCTCTTGGGGGTGATCTTCGACTATGAGCTACGGTGGAAGGAACACGTACAACAAGCAGTCAAACGAGCCACCAAGGTGAACATCGCGCTTGGGGAGTTGCGACAGCTCTACGAAGCGTGCGTCGCACCGGTCCTCGAATACGCCTGGACTGTCTGGCACGATCCACTTCGAGACAAGACCCATCTGCGGCACCTACGTACTGTGCAGCGAACGGCTCTCACCCGCGTCTTATCTGCTTTCCGGACGTTGGCCACGAACACACTTGATGTAGAAGCGCATGTGCTGCCAACTCGGACCCAGAGAAGACGGAACAATCGTGGATCGATCGCCCGGTACCAGTTGTCAGAAGCCTTACACAATGAAACTGGAGAGACTACAGGAAATCGAAATGATCGAGATCGAACCAGACAGGGAGATCGCGATAGAAAGAGCCGAGGCTGCGTGGTCAACCCCGGATATCGTGCTGTACTCGGATGCCTCGGGACGACAAGGTCATTTCGGCGCCGCAGGCGCCGTACTCGGCGAATCGCTGGAATCAACAGACAGCATACGAATCCAGGTCGGGCCCACGGATCGATGATCCGTACACGCCGCCGAGCTGATTGGGCTCATGTACTCTATCAACACCATCAATAAGGTCGCTCTCCGACACTGGAGAACATCTCACGTGCATGAGATCTGCCACTATCCTCAGCGACAGCATGTCAGCATTGCAAGCCATCCAGAATCCAGGGAACAAATAGGGACAACAGATCATCCATGCCAGTCTACAAGCAGCCAGGAACACTGTCGCCCACGGCACATCGATTCAATTCCAATGGATACCCGGATACTGCTCAATGCCCGGAAATCACACCGCCGATCTGCTAGCCAAGGAGGCAGCCATACCGGGCAAAACACACCCGTTCTGCTCTTTGCTATCACGCGAGAGGGCACACATCAGGCAACGAACTCACGCTCAATGAGAGAGAGAATGGAAAGAGTCGAGGACCGGCGGCCACCTGCGTCGGATCGACAACACATTGCCGGCCAAGTACAGGAGACGGCTCTACGGATCTCTACCTAGAAACCGAGCCTACTTACTAACGCAGTTGCGAACCGGACACTGCTGGTTATCAACATACGCTAAGGCTTTCCGATTCCGAGATGAAGACCTGTGCGTCTGTGGCGAGCGTGAAAGTGTACACCACGTGTTGCTTGATTGCCCGCAACTGAGAGAATTACGATGCAATCTCCGAAGAAAGGTTGGCGACGCGTTCAACAGCATGTCAACTCTGTCAGGGGGCCCAGGAGAAGAAGGGAGAGGTAAGATTGACAGTTTTTCACGGACCAAGACAGTGGAGGCTGTCCTGGACTTCGCCGAAACAGCCGCGCGCCTTGAAGACGGGTTAAACATAACGACGACACAGAGGCCACGGCAGGCCCTGGCAAAGCTCTAAGTTCGCTTAGGAACTGTCACACGGTACATGAACGTGTAGAGATATATATAGTTGTTGTAGCTTGCATAGTTATCACTTCGGTGAGTTGATTTCCCAACTACACTAAAATACGAGTCCGTATCCAGCCTAGTGGGTTGTGGTTTAGAATCCAACTCGGTGAGTGGTCAGGGTAAATGAAGTCATCACTCCATCCATCCGTCTGTACTGGAATATTGTGATTGTTTTTTTAGTTAAAGGCTTCGCAAGGCCGAGAAAAAGAAATTATCTACCAGAAAATCAGGGCTATGAGAAAGACACTTCGGCCAATGATATCACTAGAATATTAAAATAGATTCCGGGCAGCTGATTTGATTGTACGGAGTAGGATTTTCTATGTGATACTCAGCCTCGCTGCTTGATCTCGAAGCGCGCTAACCACGGAAGCGAGTTGACAGCCAAGCCGCAAGCAGCGACCCAGGGCCAAACTTTGATTTGCCTAGCAAATCCCTCACTCAAATTCTTTATCGCGCTAGTTTATTTTGTATGCAGTAATTTTTGAATATACGATAAGTCTGCGACTATATAATGGAATTTGGCAGGCCCCTTGTAATTATCCGTGAAACAACATTCCTGCGAGTTTTGTGCCATGTGGAAGCCACCGATAAACTTTCTCGTCCTGCACTGTACGTCCATCGGCATTTATAGAATATCCCCTTCTAATTCTTCTTCGCAGACGCGTGGATTATCACCCTTAGCGTTCTGAGCTTGGTTATCATCTATCCTTATGGTAATCTGAAAGCTGTCGATGCTTATTTTTTCGGAGCCAGCGCGTCGACTGAGTCAGGTCTGAATACGTGAGTATTCTTTATTAATTTCTTTTCCGTTCTCATAAGTCGGCTAAACAAAGACTTTCCATGGGTGTCAAGTGTCGACGTCAAATCCTTGAAGACCTACCAACAGGTGTACCTATACCTCATTCCAATCCTGGGAAATTTGGGATTCATCAACATCATCGTAATTGTATTTCGGGTTCGATGGTTCGAAAAGCGCCTCAAAGCAATCGGTGAGAAGTCTTCCACCCCCCCAAACTCAACGCCATCATCGAGAACTAACTTGTCTCTCCAAAATATAGCCCCGCATCTTTTGAGGCCAAAGGCTCCCCCGAACAAGACGCAGAGGCACAGTTGAAGGACAAAAGAAGTTTGAGTAGCAACGATGATGAAGCCCCAAACGATCAATCTAGCAGCCACGAAATAGACGACTCAGATAATGAAAGGGCGCATGTTGAGACTCGGGACAAATCTTCGAGGTTGGTTTCGATGCCATCGATCAACATAACAGACTCTCAAACATAATGGGTACTGACTCATGCACCAGGACTTCCCTGAAATTGAACGATGCGAAAGCCGATGACACAGCCGTTTCGAATATCAATCCGACAAAGCAAACCATTACATTCGCTGAAGACCATCGGCCGTCTTCCGACAAGGCCAAAGCTCTGTATATTCCGCCTCCGTGGAGACGCGAAAGAGGTAAATGAAAATCAGGCTCATATTTCCCTCCGTATTCTCACGAATACTATACAGGTGCCTCATTTTCTGAGATTGATGAAAGGCTTCATGATGAAGATGATGATGGTATGTCCTGATAAAGTGGCGCCCAAACGTAACTTCAAGTTAATCGGTTCGCTAACTTGGTTCATAAAAGGACGATCCGAGAAAGTCCTTAGTCGTCGACTGACTACCAGAAGCATGCAGTCTGGTAGTCACACCCTTGAGCGAGTTGTAACCTCCGTGTTCGTTTTGGGAGGCTCTTCTAGCTCTGACCGGGGGATGCCAACAACAAATCGGAGGGACATAAAGCAGCTCGATTTGCCGAATATGTCTTCACAAGCTACAATAGGCCGGAACTCTCAGTTCCATAATCTGTCTGCCAAAGATCGGGAAACACTCGGCGGTATCGAGTATCGAAGCTTGAAGCTCCTGTTAAAAATTGTCGTTGGATATTTCTTTGGTCTGCATCTCTTCGGTGCAATCTGCCTTGTGGGGTGGATTCTGCACGCGGATCCGAAATATCGTCACTACCTTGCTGAATGCGGGCAAGGCAATGTTTGGTGGTAAGTCGGCTTCGTCAACTATAATCGACGATATAGTGACTTATTTCATTTGCCGCACGATAGGGGCTTTTACTCCGCTCAGACGATGATTAACAATCTTGGCTTTACTCTGACGCCAGATTCGATGATTTCGTTTCAAGATGCGACCTTCCCAATGATCCTCATGAGCTTCCTTGCATTTGCCGGGAACACTTGTTATCCGTGCCTTCTTCGATTTATCA